TACTAACGGGACGGGACGACTCTTCTACGTTACGTTCGTTCTTAACTAACTTAGTACGTACCTCCTCTACGTTACCCTCTACTACTACTACTACACACACTACACACACACACACACACACACACACACACACACACACACACACACACACACACACACACACCTACTAGCATGTTATGCCCTGAGTGCTCTGAATCTCATTGCAGACTGATTGTCTTGGCCCAACAAGATTCACTTCGTAGGGTACTCTACTTCTGAATGCATTTGCCACTTGCCTCAATTTCAAGCTACCCCTCATTTGGTTTCCGGTTCTACATCCCTTTGCCAGTAGATGCCTTCAGTCATGATTTGTCCACCCTTTATCTTTATGCCTATCCTCCTATCCATCTCTTTCCCTGAGTTTTATCCATTATCCAAACCACTGTGTGTTGAGCAAAAAATTGTGCGTATAGAGGCAATATTGAACCAGAAAAGCTATTATGACAGCAGAGGGAGGTAAGTATCTATCAAAAATATATTTTCATTGTATGAAAATTATAACTTCTGTCAGAGATACTGCCAAGACAATTGAAATTTATAAGTAGGTCACTGGGGCTGAATGTTTGGTTTAGTTAATATGTAAGGACAAGCAGGTTGGCTAGCTGGATTTGTAGGATCAGTTCAATGGGAAAAGGGAGCTTTTTGGAATGGATGGTTCACATTTAAACAGGATAGTGGCTGGCTTGTATGCAAGGGCTATTAAGTCAACTGTAAGGATGGCTCTAAACGTGGACTAGACAGTGTGGAGGGCCAGAATAATAAAGAAAAGATGATACATAGAGAAAAGTATTGTGTAGGAACAAAACAAAAATGTAAGATAAATTGTTACTATTGTAATCATAGAAATATAAGAAATATAGTGTATGAATTTAGAGTATTGGTTGGAACCGAGGATTTTGATGTAAAGGGAATAACTGAAACCTGGTTAAATGTAGTTTTCATGATAGGAATTTCTGTAAAATACAGGGTTATGGGTTGTTTAATAGAGGTGGAATACTAAAAAGAGGGGGAGGAGTGGCATTACATGTAACATCTGAGTTACATTCTGTTCAACTTGAGGATATCAAAGCTAATAGCAATGAGGTTGAATCTATTTTGTTTTATGTTAGTGATCCTAAAGGGAAAAAGCTATTTGTTGCAGATCACCAGAGGAAACTGTTGAAATTAATGAGAAACTCTACAGTGAGATAAAGAATTCAGCTGTTAATGAGGTCATAATTATGGGAGATATTAATTTCAGGCATATAATAGACAAGAAAACTTTAGTGAAATCATGAAGGAGACAGGATTCTATAAACTATTCGGCATGGTTTTCTTCACTAGTTGGTTAGAGAATCTACCAGGAACAATGTTATTTTAGATTTATTGTTAATATCTGATACAGAAATGGTTGATAGGGTAGAAATTGGGGAAACACCTGAGTGCAGATTCTGATCAATATTGTGCTGCATGTGGAGATAAGGAATAATGAGATTTTATGGTCAAAGTTAAAAAAAAAAAAAAAAATGAAGGAATGAGATAATTATCTGCTGTGAATTAGGTAACTGAATTAATTGGAGATACTTATCAAATGTGTAAAAATTTTAAAAATTAATTCTTAAATAATCAAAATAGGTATGTTCCTTATAGAAAAAAAAGGGTGGCTACAAGTACTAAACCAGGTTGTGTCACAAAGGGTATAAAAGATAGAATTAAATAAGAGCATTATAAATATGTGAAGTTTAGATTCACTGCAATGATAGAATATTGGAGGGGATTGTAGAAAGGTAAGAGAGTTGGTCAAATGTGAAATTAGGAAATCAAAAATTATATGAAAAATGGTTGACTGAAAATGTAAAAATTGATACTAAGGAATATTTATAATGTATATTAAAAACATAGTTATAACAAAAATATTTTAAATTACGGACTTTTTGGAATTGCTTCAAATTCCATCATCAGCATTAAACCCCAAAAAGTTAATTCATAAAATTTAGTTACTAAAAACTACCTTAGCTATTAAGCAAGTATTTTTTGTATAATCAAGAGTATAGTACTATTAATTAGGCTTTCATTTTTTCAAGTTTGACAGAAATATTGTAGGCTTTCGAGGAAGTATAGTAGGTGCTTAGTTTAAAATGAATCTTAGGCTGAGAAATCAGGTTTCAATTTCTGTTTGAAATGAACAGTCAGATTCTTACAGCATGTTGGTGGTACTTCTATGAGATATTCTTTAACTTTGAAATATTATGTCTTAACTAATATAAAATTTTATACAACATTTAAATGAAGAGCTGATAACATTTGTTTAGTTTAATAAAAAATAAACTGATTTAACATTTTTCTCTGTAACCAACAACATGATTGGCCCACATCTGTAAAAATAACAATTATTTTTACTAACTTCGTTATATTTACTAATTAAACAATTTCAATTTCCTTTTCCAGAAATACAAAAGAAAAAGGTCTGCAAGTATTATGAAAAAGAAGAAGAAAAAACATAAAAAATGAAATGTGTGTCAAAAGTGTGGATAGAGAAGATTTGAAATTGTTTCTATCTGTCATACATTTCTCGACCTCACCCCAAGTATATTATACAAAGTATTGTATCAACACTCTTCATAAAGTTAAAACTACCATTTGGACTTTTTTTAGATTGTTTAAATGTTTTATGTATTATATGTTTGACACTTCTGTGAGAATTTACCAATATTTAGCAGCCATACTTTGAGCAAATTTCAAATAGTTTGATAAATAAGCCTGCAAATGTAGTTGGTTTGATTCAAATTTAATTCTCCCACTATTTAAAATATACATATTTCTGTATATTTACTCATCGTATAGCATTTTAATACAAAGCAAAATTCTTAGTAAAATTGAAATCGGCACATTTGTTTGGTTGTATTTCAGATTTACTGAGATATATTAAGCAGTGATAGATATTTATAGGTTACCATTAAGAGTGATTTAAAGAACCTTTTCCAATTAATGGAGGAATTGCTACTGTCATGGCTTTTTCACTAAGAGCACAGTAATGAATTGCTCAGATTATTTCAATGTAATTTCACAAAGTCCATGTTTTATCCCATGTAATGATTTAGATGAAATTTGTAATATTTCTTAGGTGTATAAAAAAGAACTTGTACTCTGTTTCTAGTTCAATAAAAACTTTTAACAGATATACTTAAGAGACTTAATAACATTGCCAGTGTTCTTTTCATGAACAATATTGTACTGTTTTTACTGTCTTCATCAACACATTCTTAAAACTTTATAAAAGCTTTTTCTGATTTTATGCAGAATTCAGTGCTTTTATTATTATTATTAAATAGTTAAACTATTTTTCAAACTCAATTAGAACAGCTTTCATATGTTTACTTGAGTGTTTATTATAGAAACATTAAAAATTAATACTGATACAATATTTCATCTAAATATATCGTATTTCTACTTCTACGTAAGCAAAAAAAATATCTTTAACTAATGATCTGAAATAGAAACTCATCTGAAAGGAATATTCAAGAAAATTGCACTCACACCCATACACAAAGAAAATAGTACTATAATTATATTTCTCTTTCTCTAGAACTTTAATTCTTGGCTTTATAGCTAGTCATTATAGAAAGTTATTATGCAGTTTCATTATAATATTATATATTGAATGTTTGTTGACAAAAATGTAGATTGATTTCTTTTTGTAAATCAATTCAAAGTTAACTACTAACATCTCAAATACTAAACCTGATCACGGTCTATATGAAATTAAACTTTGTCTTTGCCAGTTATTTTGTAAGCAAGCCATACTTTAAATGTAGACAGCACTAAGTTTTATCCACAATTCTTACTCTTCTTTGAATATATAACTATTAATTTCAAGCTTATAGACCAAGTGTTATGGTGTATGAAGCCTATCCTGTTACACTTTATCTGTTAGTTAGTAATGAATGTGTTAATGCATCACAGAAAAAAAATTAATTTAATCATGCTATTCATTACAAGTTACCAAATACATTAATGCATATAATTTCCAATAAAATCCTCTTTCTCAATACCAGTACACTAACAGGTCATCTGGTTTACAGTGTATCAAAATACTACTTATGAGAGACATTTATGAGACATCAAGTCTTATTGTGTATAATGTTTAAACCAGTAAAGTATGGTTCATTAGTTGGAAATAGATGTGAGATTACATTATTTAAATATTTATTCCATAATATAACCAGGTGAATTTTATTTTTTGATTTTATTTTAACTTATTTCTTTTTATACTAGCAATAAATCAGTGGCTTAGGCAAGCTGTAAGGACAGTCATGTTTGGCTGACTTTTAAAATTACACTGAAGAACATTACCTTTCTTAGACATTAATTTTCTTTCAACAATAGTAATATTATCACTCCTGCATGATTGATTAAAGGAGTACATAGTTTAAAAAACAAAAATGTTTTTAGTTCTAAGGCTTTGACATTACATATTAATTCTGTTGGATGACTAGTCTTGAGTTATTATTTTATTATGATTAATTTTTATAAATCCTTGGTTGTAAGTTATTTTAAATATTAAGCTCAAATTTCTTACTAAAAGATGCAGGTTGGGACATAGAAAAATAATTTTGAACAGTGTAAGTACCAAAATATTTTTTTTTATCATTCAAATTCAAACTCTTTCATTCTCATTTGTTTGAGGCTGTTTAGCTATTTTTATCCCTTTTTATTTACTTTTTGGTTTTATTTATGGAGAGAACCTTCCTACAGTTATATAAAGCTCTGTTAGGTGATATTCTTTATTATTGAACTAGCTCAGCTTATTAGGGCAGAAACTGCTTAAAAATACTATACCTAGCTAGAAATGAGACAGTCTTATTACTGGATGTGAACTTGATATACTGCACACTACATATATAGAACTGTTTATTAATAATATGGCCTGGTGGTTAGGGTGCTTGACTCGCTTCTGTGGGATTGAAACCCATAACAGAACATTCTCACCTTTTCAGCTATGGGGGCATTATAATGTGACTGTTAATCCTAATATTTGTTGGTAAAAAGTAGCCCACGAGGGTAGTTGGTGGTATTTATTAGCTATTTTACCACTAATCTATCACTTTAAAATTAGAGATGGCTTGTGCCCTTAGCCCTTCAGTTGCTTCAGCAAAGAAACAAAGTGTGTTATTAACTGAAACTAGCAACAATTTTTTATATTTATTTATGGTGGAAATTACCAGTAACTACAAGTCAGTCAATTTTTGATACATTTTGTAATTCAGAAATAAGTTTCTCTTTTACAAAATCATATAAATTAATACAGTAATTTTGAAATTCTGTTACAAACATGGTTTATGTTGATAATTTAGCCAATATACAATAGATTAATGAATTTGGTTTAGCTTGCTTCTCTCTAGAATGAAAAGTGTAATAAATATCAGCTTACATTAAGTAAAAAGTGGGCCAATTTTACTCGCACTGGAAATGTGAAACTATACATACCATTACGACAGCAGAAGTCACGTGATGAATTTCTCGAATGATCATGAATTATTGGGGAAGACCGAGTTTGTTCGAATGACCTCTTTATTCAGCATATAAGCATGGCAGAGAAAGCCTGCAGAATTGAATGAAGAGAGTTCTGGGTAATTACGGTTCTGTTTCGAGCTAGTGTGTGTTTTGTTATCGAGATTGTGAATCGCTGTGATTTATAGCGTGTATTATAAAAGTGACGAGAAACGTACTGCCTGTGGAATTACTTGTACCAGATGTTTGTATCGAGAAAGAATAAACTGGTTTAATCAAGAAAGGACTTGTATTGCTGAAGTTCCTTGGAATGAATTTCTACCGGAAATTAACAAACAAGCAGATATGTAACAATACTATAGCTCTAAATTTATTTTACTAAGTATATACCACAAAATATGAAAGCTTTTAGTAAACATTACAAGTCTTTTTATATTAAAAATTAGATTTTTTAATAAAGTATTTCTACTAAAGGTTTGTATGAATTTATGAAGTCTTTACTGAGTCAGCCTGAGTGAAAGGTGATTTTCGTAAGAATATAAAATGCTTCTTTTCATCTTATGGTTTTCATATTTCATTTCAATAACCTCTACGACTTCCTAAATGAATGTCAAGTTTTTGCAGTAAAACTATATTTTATGTTATTTTTTTCTATCCAACACTAACTGTTGCCAAATCATCAATGTACTGTGAAATGACAAGTTGAATAACACCTTTTTTTCTTCTTATTTCAATGCTTGATTTGTTGTCAGATCTTCAGTGTAATTATGTCCACAATTTCTACTGTTTATCATTTCACATCTGCTTTAATTTTATTGTTTAATTATTGTACTTTATTCCACAGAAGTTATTTGTTAACCTGTGAAAAGCAATAAAGCAGAGCAAGAAACCGTATCTGTACCCCTTACAGATAAAGTAAACAAATCAATGAATTTAGTCAGTGTGAAGTTGAAAGCTTAAGTTCCTAAGATCATAAAATTTGAGTTGTGTTAACTGACTTATGCATATTTTAATGTTTTCATTTTAGTTACTCTTTCTCAAAATATATAACAATAAATAAAACGTATGCACAAAAAACAAGGAATTTAGCGCTTCCTTTAGGCATTGAGTCCTGTTTGCACTCGGATGCCTTGCTTCAGTAACCCTAATTTTTTCTCACTATGTTAGTTGTCCAGAGTATAATCCATGTAACTTTTAAATATTACTTTTAGAACAGAAAAGATATCTTAAAAACTTATCTCCCAAAACTAACATAATTTACTTGGCTTTCTAATCAAGCTATAAATAGGTTAAAAAGTAACCATTACTACTAGTAGCAATAACTTTACTCAACACATGACAAGCTTTTCTTCTGCCAAATATGAATAAATTATCTTAATATTCCTGTACATTATAATATGCTCTTTCTAATCTTCATTGTTTGAAAACTGTAAGAATGTATTTCTTACATTCAAACACCCCACCTTACGACTCTCCTTGTGCCTATAGTATTGTTACGACAGCGAAAGTCACGTAAACCTGGTAACACGTAATGCGTTCTAGAAAGATCGGGGAACATCACGAATAATCCAGTATTTACTAGACGCCCTCTATTATTGTATATAAGTGCGCCAGACAATTAATAGGAATAGAATTGCAGACAGACAGAGACGGACAATTGAGTCAAGCGCGGTAATAAGTAAGTGTGTGAATCATTCCCTGTGAATTATAACGTGTTTTTATAAAATTAGTTAAGTTAAATTGACTGTGGAAATTAAGTGTATTGCAAAGTTGAATTGAGAAAGAATAAACTAGTTTTATTTAAGAAAGGACTTGTATCGCTGAATTTTTCAGAAGGAATTTTTACTGAAAAATAACAATCGACCAGAGACGTAACAGTATCTTTTGATCTTTAAATATAGGATGCCAACAAAACTTTTAGTTACTTCTGAGCCAAATTTTACCAAAATAGGATTCCATGGGTACTATTTTCTGTGTTTCATCTGACGAGCTACCAATATGGTTGTATTTCTAATTAGTTTGAATCTTATTTGCAAAAAAAAATTGCATATGTAAATTAAAGTAATGCAACTTATCATAAAATGGGATAATTTCAAAGGTACAATAAACAATGTTATGCTAAAACATAAAATTTTAATAAAAACTGGTATATAATAAATATATTTTTTCATGGTCGAATATTAAAATTCGATTTCATTTAGTTACTACATGCACATCTCGATACAGTACCTGATCAATTAATTGGAAAAGATTATGTGTTTGTAAGTCAGATATCAGTGAAATTTAGTTAGGGGTTCGATTCCCTTCGGTAGACGCAGCAGATTGCTTGGTGTGGCTTTGCTATGAGAAAGCACACACACACACACATTTAGTTAATAAGTTTAGTTTTTAAGCTAGTACAGCTGTATGAATGTCATTTTCACAAGAATAATTGTTGTAGGGATAGATGCTTTTATTACCATAATGTTGCTGTAATCACCTCTCCCAGAATTCTTCTTGCTCACCCTTTGCCATTCTGACTGTTATGCTACAACTATTAAAGTCAAAATCAGAAATCACAAACAAGGCTTTATTAAAAAAAGAAACAATCAGAATACAGAAATAAAGAAATCACAAAGTATATAAAGTTTTCTTTATCACAACATCCTTCCCCATACAAATTAGAGGCTAAGTCACTGGACGTGTT